TCTGAAATCAGCGTTTAGTTTAAACCACACTGCGCGCTCATTGGTAAGTGAATGGCAAGTGCTATTCATCCCCTTCTGGTACATACGTAAATAATTTTCTACCTCAAGTGTTGGTGAAAGGGGTGGATAATTACCTTGCCTCTTTGCGTCGGTAAATACTCATTCCTTTTCACCTTTATTTCGGAGAATGTCTGTTTAATATTTCTGGATTGCTTGTGAAAACACGCTGTGTTGTTCAAGTGTTTTAGGAGAGACCATGTCCGGGTCACGGATGAATTCAGACCTCCTTGTGAAAATTAGAGGGCTTTGTCTTGTGCAGAAAGCGGCCAACCCAAGATTTTTTAAAAGTATTTTGCACTTGAATCTCCCCCAGACGGGGCAATCCTAACTGGATAAGCTTAACTCTGGATAAGGTAGATCGTAGATATTCTATGTTTCAGAAGGGAAAATTCAGGAGTTAAGACTGCTACATCCAATGTAGATCCTTGTGTTCATTACTCTGATTGGTTATTATCCGTTCTTACCGTTGTTTAGTATCTCTGTTATTTTCTCATTCGATGACTCCTTCCAACGTACTCAACATGGTCCAGTGTACCATTAACTTTATACTCTAAGTTTCGTTCTCTATTTTACTCTTCTCACAGCCGAATGGAACAAATCTGTTTCACTTCGTCCATGGACATCAATCATGGGCTGATTACTTAACGAACATGGAGCAAGATGGCGCTTGGGGTGACCATGTTATTTTGTGTGCCGCAGCAAACTGCTACAAAACTTGCATTCGTGTGGTCAGCAGTCTTAACGCTGCTCACGATGTTATCTTACGGCCACAATGTCCTGTTGACGAAAGCAGGACACTTGCCTTGGGACACATCCATGAAGTACACTATGTCAGCCTTCATTCCACACAAGGTATAATTCTTTACATTACACCCAGTAAATGAAGTGTGAGTTTAAAATGATAGTTTTTGTAATTATCTACATCACCCAAGAGGGAGGGGGTGGCTCCATCGTTCTCTGGTATAAGCCGCCGTCAAATGATCTCTGCCAATATGACGTCACATAGCAATTTTAGAAGTGCCTTGCTAAATTGTCTCAGTCGAGCTTGAGGAAAGTAATAGGAGCGAACAAAGAAAATGCCTTTACAGGCTCCTATTGGGTTATTATTGACTGATTTTCCGTGAGTGTACAAGCTTTGTCATTTATATTGTGAAATTAACAATTTCACTATTTACAATTCGGGACGAGTGCAACTGACCGCCTGTTTTACTTCAGCGCGTAGCAAACTAAAACGTACGCCATTTTTCTGTAAGCTTTGAACAAATCGACCTCATAAAAGGACGTTTTATTCCTTATTTAGGTAGGTTTAGGTTTAGGTTTCTACCTATTGCTATTTGGGGCGGATCTAACGAGTCATTTTTCTCCTCAATCCTTTTAAGTTCGAAGTTGTCGTTGTATTAAATGGGGGTGAGCCACGATTACATAATTATCTTGTCTGCCAGTGTTGTAAAGACCTTGCTAAGAGCCAAAGATTCTAGTTAATTAGCTTACTTGCTTTTGTTTGTGGCGCTTTATTTTATAACGCTCTCGCTATTCTTGTGATTAATTTTTCCGGGCTTGTGTTGTAAGCTGCTATTATTGCCAGATTATTGACCTGTGTCCTAATCCTGTAAGAAGAAATGTGGCCAAAAACAGTACATTTTCGAAATAACGTGGCAACATCCAAAAAATCGATTCGGCTTACTTTTTCAAGTTAGATGGGCCTTACAGGAAAACAAATCTCTGCATACTTCGTTTGGCTGAATATCGATTTAATTTAGAGAAAATCGATAATAACTGAATTCTGCCAAAATGACGCTTTAGAAGCTCAAAATTTCAGACAAATCTCGGAGCGTCGCGCCTCGAATTGAAAACACTTGGAGCGATACAAAGTACCAAATCTTGAAAAACAACATCAAAATGTAGGTTATTGATTGTTTGTAAAAGCAATCTAATTGACTTTATCCCACCTTCTTCTAACTACATTAAAAATAGGTCAAAAGTAACCCGTTATTCAACTCTGTGCTAGACAAAATATTCGACTGAAAATCTGGCTTTTGGAAAGCAAAGTGTTGTTCTTTTAAACAATCATTATCAGAAGGTGTTAACTATCCTTCCAAGTTATATCGCTACTGTGAGAGCGATCGATCCAACATTTTCAGGACTGAAATCCTCTATTGTGATACATCAACATGGAGGCTAAGTAGATATGTTGAAAAAGCTGTAGTTTCGATTTAAAGTGCGAAACAATCGTGTTTGCGTGTGGATGCGCACATTTTCGACTAGCTCTTAGCATTACAAAGAAAGCTGCTCAGCGACTTTATATCCTTCGTGTCCTGCGCCGCAATGGCCTTCCACCCAAGGATTTACTTAGTGTCTATACTGCTCTAATACGTTCTGTTTTGGAGTACGCATGCCCGGTATGGCATTCTAGCCTTCCATCTTACCTTGTGGACAATTTAGAACAGATACAAAGAAGAGCTTTCAGGATAATCGAACCACTAATTTCTTACAGAACTGCATGTAATGTTTTGAATTACCCCACACTGGAAGAAAATAGGGAACGTCTTTGCCTCGAACAGTTCAAGAAAATTAAAAACTCACAGTTGTCATCATTAATTCCACAGAAAAGACTAGACGCACACGGCCGTCAGCTGCGCTCCAGCAATAACTTGACTCTTTTTAAATGTAGGACAAAACGATTTCAAATAAGTTTTTTTCCCGCAATGACGTCAAAGCTTAATGAATTATCGCAATAGACTTATATCACATTTGTAATAATTTGTTAATAGAATCTTGTGAGCCGGTAACCCAGTCCCCCGGCAAAATTTTTATTTATACAGTCTCATTTAATTTGTAAATATTTTTTGTAATTTCTTGTAAATATGAAGTATTTCATTTTAGTGCCGAATTCATATCTAATAAACCATTACCATTACCA